AATTGTCTGCGAAAGAGCAAGGACTCTGTCACAAAGGGCATTTAACTGGGATTTCGTTTTGCATCTATTTACATTGACTTTTTTACGTAGCAATACTTCCTAGCTACTCTGGCTTGTAAAATATTTAAACGCTCCAGCTCAGCTTTGGTGATGGCATAGGCCATAGGACCAGGCCGAGACGGCGTGTTCCAGGGCGGGTCGGACAATTTTTTAATTTTTTTTATTGATCTTCGAATCTTTTGAGCCACACAAGTTGTGTGGAATGTTGCTTTGCGTTCTTGAATCGTGGGTTGACCATAATTATTGTCCAATGGTCTTGCCAGTATCGTCATCGACATGCATGAACATCCGCCAACGTCCTTCACAGCTGAGACTTTCAGCTCGTGCTTATCTTGGTTGCGCTCGCCTTCCCCTCCTTATGTTATTTCTATAACTTAGAACCATCCAAGTGGGAAGGCTGTTGGAGTGCGCATCCAAGATGTGCTACTGCTAGAGCTGTTAGCCAGTTTATGAATAGTAACTGCTGTAGAACGTCAGTACCATTGGTCAGTGTCGTGCAATGTTATCGCATGAGCTGATTGTTTAGTAACTGGTGGTGTTGGTGGACCGCACAGTATAGCGCAACTTGTAGTTCCTTGGTCCTTTCTCTTTTGTATAAACTAATCCCTGGGTCTCCGAGTCCAGAATATCATTGTTGTGTATCGGTTCTATTAGTGAAAGACTTTTCATGGCATATTCATGTTGTTCTTTAGTTTTATTTTGTAGTGGTTTAGTCTTGACTTTGTTGCATTGGTTTGGTTGCATGTGCAGTCTTCTGTACATGAACCAAGTGACGGTTACGTCATTGCGCGCATGCTCATACGCTGCCATAATATTAGTCGTTTTCTTCGGTGATCAGTTAACCTCGTCGTGTCCGGTCTTCTTGTCTGTCCGTCTCCGTCTTGTCAAGAAAGTATGTAGAACTCTTAGTTCAGTTTCGTTGTTGTGTGTGGCGGGTCGGATGGGCAGGGAGGCTGGGCCCCTGACGCCTGGACAACATGTGCGAGTGCACAAAAATCATGAAGTTCGCTTAACATTATGGGAGTTTGTTATAAGGGGAGTCGACTGTATGTGTATCAGTGTTCACCTGAGCAGGAACCTTCTCGGCACTACACAAAGCAAACAACTCGGGTAGAGACGAATAATTAATTGTTTATTCCACTCAGGATCTTGTATGTATGTGAGCATTGGGACTCATACACTAAAAAAGGTGACTGTATCTTGTCAGAAGACGGTGTAACATAGTACAGTTCCCCCCCCCCCCCCCCAGAATTTGCCCCCCCCCCCCCCAGCAATCTGCTATATAGTTTTTTTATGAACACTTTTATTGGACATGCATGTATATGCAGCGGGCAGTACATATACAGTTGGCACCTGTGACATCAGGGAATGGCCCTCGCCTGGTAAAAACTGGTAAGAGAAGGCTGAGGGCTGAGCTATCTGTGGGAGGGAGTAGTAAACTACCGGTATTTTACTACTCATTCACACGTGCATTTGAATTTTTCAAGTAAAGTTCCTTCCAGATTTCTCATCGTCCTTTGTGTTGTGGCTTTCGTTTTCAGATCATTTTAGTTCGAGTGACGTTTACTTTCAGCTCGTTCCTTCCTTCTCTGCATTGTAGTTCTGCCATGGATCTAGAAACGTATGAGGCAATAGGCCATTACAAAAATACTGGCACCTACCCCAGATCCATTGCCGATACGGACGACAAGGTAGAACGTAGAAGCAAAAAACTCGAAGCAGAACTGTTACTTCAGGAAGAAGTTTGATACTGTCTTAGTTCAGGATGGGGTGTTGTTTCACTCGCCAACGAAGCGGCGTCCAAACTCAATGCGAGAGGTCCCAAAGGAACGAAACAAATTATAATCTAGCAGGAGGCTGCCACTTTCAATAAGATCTTGGAGCGTTACTGGTGGAAAGAAATGTATGATGCTGTGCTGTAGAGAAGGTTTCTACAAGTGCATGTACTTGCCAAGCATGGGGTATGGATCTTGCTGGCATACTGAAGTTGACACCAGATGGCCAACAGTACATCGTGGTGTTCACCAAGTATCTGTGCTGGAGGGCCGAAACCAAGACAATCCCAGATAAGTGTACATCAACCGTGTCTGCAATGCACTCATTCAGTGCGTTATTTCGAGGTTTGGCTGTCGCGACACTATTATCAGTGAGCAAGGCCGAGAGTTTGTGAGCAACGGGAACGAGCTGCTGTGCAAGGACATGGAGGTACATAGAACAAAAATCTGCAGTGCTTATTATCCACTGTCAAATGGTCTCACGGAGCGATTCACCGAACCTTTCTTCTCCTACTTCGACAGATGGTGATAGAATCCCAGAATGAGTGGAATAGTATCACAGCAGCAACAAGCAATTGTCCACAAAGCTGTCTCCCTACTTTATTGTATACGTTCAGCTGACACGTTCACCTGTTGAGCTTCACTCTGCCACTAGTGCCCAGTCA